GCCCCCCCCAGGCCCCCCGCAGCTGCGGACACGGAGCCTCCTCCCGGTGCTGCCGACCTCCCACCGACTGCTCGCACGAAGGCGCCCAGCGGCTTTGCCCCCACCCCCCCCCCCACCCCCCCCTCCCTTCATCCACCCCCCCTCCCTCCATCCATCCCTCCATCCCTCCATCCCTCCCTCCCTCCCTCCACCCCTCCCTCCATCCCCACGTGGTCTCCACCCACCCATCCCTCCCTCCCTTCCTCCCTCCTCCCCTCACCAGGCCCAGGGGGGGCCGGGGGCAGCGATGGCCACGGCCGCGTCGGCTCCTGGTACTCGCCCTGGCTGGGGGGGATGCGCTCGTAGCGGGGGGGTCCCCGCGCCGCCCCCGTCGCGTTGTTGATGACAATGGTGTCACCCGGCACCGAGAGCTGCACCCGCAGCTCGTCCTCTGACGGCCGGCGCTGGGCCTGTGGGCGGGACCCTCAGGTGGACCCAGATTTCCAGGTGCCCAGTTCCTCCCAGTTGACCCCAGCACCCTCCCAGAGCTTGGGCATTGAACCCAGATATCCAGGTGCCCAGTTCCTCCCAGTTGAGCCCAGCACCCTCCCAGAGCTTGGGCACTGAACCCAGATATCTGGGTGCCCAGTTCCTCCCAGTTGAGCCCACTACCCCACTCACCTTCCCCAGTATCTTCTTCCAGTACTGCCGCCAGAGGATGAGGAAGATGACAGCCAATAGGAGCAAGATGATGGCCACCAGGCAGCCAATCAGAATGGACGTGTGGCTGTGGTCAGCTTTGGCAACTGGTTGCCCCGGCTTGGGCTCCCCAGGGGCTGCCATGGGGAGGTGGTGGTGGGCGGGGTGCCATCATGGCCCTGCCCGCTCAGGTCCCGCCCCATTAAGCCCCATCCAATTAAGCCCCGCCCCATTAAGCCCTGCCTTACTCGGGGTAGTGAAGTTGGTAGCCATGTCCACGTGCCAGGAGTCCTCAGGGATGGCCATGACCCCCGCCGAGGGGTCGGGCGGGGCAGCTGGGGGCCACCCACTGGCACCCACCACCTCCTCCACCACATCTGCAGGGAGAGAGCCCCACCGCGCCTTAACGAGGCAGCTAACGAGGGCGGTGGGCTGGCCGCCCCCCCCATTGACCAACCTCTTCAAACAAACTGCCTTCCCATTGGCCAACAGGCCAACCAACCGGCTCCTGGGGTGGTTGACCCCCAACCAAGCAATCACTCAACCAGCTTTGACCTAGTCCGACCAACTAGTCAAGCAAGCAGCCAATCAACCTGGCCAACGAACCTGTCCTTCAACTCACCAGCCAATCACGTGACGACTCAGACATCTAACCAGTCACCCCGTCACCCAACTAACGAGTCAACAGGCAACCAGCTAACCAGCTGATCACCCTCGGACTGGTTAACCACCAGCTAACCAACCGACGATCCAATCCTGCATCCAACCAACCGTCCCACCACCCAACCAGCTCAGTAGTCAACCAGCTAACCGACCAGTCCCACGACCAGCCCTTAGACTGGCCAACCAGCATCCAACCAGCCGATCTCCCCGTTATCCAACCAACCTGCCCTTCATCCATTCAGCCAGTGACACCTTCACCCAACCACCCACCCCATCACCCAACCACCCACCCCATCACCCAACCAGTGACCCCTTCACCCAACCAACCATCCCATTACCCAAACACCCACCCCATCACCCACCCAACCACCCCATCACCCAACCACCCAGATCACA